CTCTCTCTCTCTCTCTCTCTCTCTCTCTCTCTCTCTCTCTCTCTCTCTCTCCTAAAGCTTTCTTGTGCATCTTTTCAAAGAATCAGATCTATTGATTTTTCATTCTTGGTTCCATTTATTTCTGCTCTTGCCTTTCCTGTTTCTTCTGTTGTATGTTTAGTTTTCACTTATTATCTTAAAGTAGTCTATTGATAGGAGGTAGGTTTTGGTTGTGTAGGTGAGATTTCATTTGGGGGGTGGTGGTGATGTCCTGGGCTTGCTTTGTAGACCAGGCTGGTCTCAAACTCTCAGAGATCCACTTGCCTCTGCCTCTCGAGTGCTGGGTGTCTGGTGTTCAGTCCTGCTGATAGGTTAAGCTGTTTGACAATCTACTAAGCTCTTAGAGACAATGAACTTTATCATGTACAGCACATATGGGCATCAGCATATTCATATCAGTTCTCTGAGCCTTATTTCCTGTAAGATGATGCAGAGAGAGCCAGCCATGCCTGCAGACGTGGCAGTAGAGTGCCCCCAAGAAAAGAACCCCACGTTTAGGGAAACTACATCTTTGAAAAGTAAATGTAGGTCTGCCTTGCCTTTGTTCTGGATGGAGACATTATCTTGAGTAATGGAGAATGAATTGTCTTTTGACTTAGAGAAAAGTATGATCTTTGTCATCCAAGATCATGTATCACAAATGTTCTTGAAGAGAGTTCAGAACAGTCATTGGCTCTGCAAGACAGTGAGGCAAGAGCCCCATGTAGAATCGTCTCTCAGTAAGTACCTGAATCAGTGAAGAAAACTACTCACTGCCCCCCCCCCTTTTACTATGTATTCTCAATCACCTTGGGCTGTCCTTTAGAGTAAGACAAACAGGGTAGGTTAAACATCAGATGTTCATTTCTCACAGCCCTCAAGGCTGGCAATTCCGAGATCAATGTGTTAGCTATGCCCATTCTTCCTGAGAGCCTTTCTTTTGCGCACAGGCTGCTTAGCCATGTCTTGAGATGCCAAAAGAGGAATTCTTTCTCCTGGCTCTTACAAGGGTACTGATTCTATTCACTGACAGGTCCATCCTCATGACCTGCTCTCTAAATGCCCATGCCCATGTGCATTTGGGACTTACTTTAATGTAGGAATTGGGGGAAGGCGCATAGACCTGTGGTAGACAGCACACCACTCTCTTGTTTTCCACAACAAAGTAGC